ACAAATCCCTCCAGCCTTCACTGTTGCTCTCCTCCTGCAGGTGGAGGAAGTCTACGATCCGGAGCGGTGTCTGGACTACCCCCTACAGCTGGATCTGGATTTGGACCGCGACCTCGGAGACGAGGAGAACTTTGACGTGGACGACCGTAAGTTAGCCCAGGTGGAACCGGATCCTGGTCCGAGGGCTGAGTGACGTATTTTAATTTTTTTCTTTTCAGTGGACGAAGGTCCGATCTTCGCCATGTGCATGACGGGTCGGGGAGACCAGGCCACTCTGAACCAGTGGATCTCTGGCCTCCAGCAGAACAACCCCATCCTGGGGAAAGTTCCCACTCTGTTCCGCCTGGACGCAGGAAGCGGGGAGCTGCAGGCGGCGGCGGACGCAGAGTCGGTCCGTAGACCCCATGCGGAGAGGGAGGACCCCGAAGCTTTAGTGGAGGAGGAGTCCGGGAGCAGGCAGCGGATGAAACAGTGACCTCTGGAGGACGGAGCAGGAAATAAACTCTGGATTTAAACGGAGAAGGATTTAAGTCGGACTTCTGGAAAAAAGTTAATTTAACATAAAAAGCTGCAAAGTTACGCAACCAGAGGAGAACCGGGTTCTACTGCCCGGCGTTTCTCTCCTCTGACCTCAGAAGCTATGGAGAGAAATTAGTGCCAATATTGGAAACATAGAAATAGTTAAATAAAGAAACATTTTAAAATAATTTATAATATGTATGATAAACTTCTGCCAATATTTTTACAGCTTATATTAACTCAGTGATTTTTTTTTTCTGGTTTAATTTTTTTTTTTGTGGATGAGTTTTCCAAATTGCATTCTGTTCAAATCCTGTTTTACAGTTTTTTTTTCTCCATACACTCACCCAGATGTGAGAGCGGGAAATCTATAAAACACGATTTAAAACAGTAGAAAAATTAAAGAGTAACTAATAAAATAAATAAATAAAATCTAAAACTAAAAATTTAATAATTCGGAAACAAACTTTGATAAGGAAAGAAATTATATATATATATATATATATATATATATAT